ATCACAGTGCGGAAAAGTTCATCTTACGGATGTAAGACATTTTATTTAGAAATTCCAACAAGGGTAACCCACTGCTTCCTTCCTCATTTTTTGGAAATAATCATTATTATCAATTTTAATTAACAAGCATTTTGGCGTCAATATTGAAAATCGAACATGAATTGGACATATAAAAAAATTACACGCAACGATGCGTTCTTGTTTTTTGTTCTATCATTTGCAAATCGGTTTGGTTGATTTCATTGCCCGTTTATTCTCCCACTCCTAATTGCTTTTTTTCTGTTTTGCTCTATTTCAATTTTGATGCGTATGCAAAAAATTATCATCGAATTAATGCAAACGATTTTGAAAAAAAAAATCGAACATGGTTTAAAGATTAAATCAGGTAACACATTAGCATTGATGCCATTTTAATTATACAACATGAATTGTTCAATTTTCATTGAGTTTATTTATTTCCCTTTCCGTTTTCATTCACTTTTTACGTGTATAATAATGAATATAGAAATGTTGTTGCTTTTTTCTATGCAAAAATAAAACGATTTTTCAATTTGTGACTTTTCAAACATTTTTTTTAGCGTTTGTTTGTTTGCTTGTGTGTGCGGGAAAGTCATATGATACATTTTTACCATATTTATTCATAATAGATTATTGGCGTGATGGCGACAACAGTAACCAGCATTGACGATGGTATGAGATGGAATAATAAACTAATGAATTGAACATATGGTTAAATTTCCATTCTTCTCCTTTCACGCTATGTCTTGACGTCAATATGTTTTGTATTCTATTCAATTGTACGTGAATACATCAAAAAAAAGAATAAAGAAAATAGATCGAGAGAATGGGGGGCTTTTTTGTGTCAGTAAACATAATACGATTTTGCATGAATTCAATTAGTTTTTTCTATTGTGCATTTTCTTAAGTAAATAGATAGGGCTGCTGACATATACACTTGTATACACACTTGAAGAGAGAAGAGAGAAATAAACTGAAAAAAGCAAGAAAATTTTCTTTTCAACGGTTCATTCCTTTCAATTCCTTTTTGAAATTGGGCACATGCTATGATGATGCTCACGCGTTTTGTCGATATTATATTACCCGAAAAAGAAGTGTACAATCAAACTCGGCTTTGCCTCTCCATCGCCCCAGCCTCACTGATGAATGTATATTTGTGCATAAGTGAGGCGCTTCATTAACCATCAAATCAAAAACATCAAGACACAGTGAAAAAATGAAAACGAAAATAAAACCGGAGATGCTGAGAGCTTTTGTTCAATTTGGCAAACGATAGAATGAAAGACAACAGAGTGAACGATGTGAAGAATGAGAAAAAGCTCAAGAGAAGTAGAAAAAAAAAATAAAGTCGAAATGAATTTCGAGGGAAATGTAACGATTCGATAAGAGCCCGATGAAAAATCGACATGATGAAGAGAGTGAATAAAAAGAAATAGAGACGAATCAAAAGAAATAGAATAGTCGCTCTGTCTGACTGACACACACACGTGCTTATTATGCCAAGTGCTTTAGCAACTTTGCAACCACACGTACACACGATTCAATTTAAATCGGAGCAAATTTTATTCAGGACATTAACCCACGAAAATATACACATTTGTACATATCACATACATTTTGAATTAAAAGTGATTTCTTTGCATCCATTTTTATTATTTGTGCTTTCTGTTTATATTTCTATTTTTCATGTTTTTTTTTTCTCTCTTCTTTGCCGTCTCTCGTTCTTTGCTTTGGTAGCACCGTTTTTTTTTTATTTTCATTTGTCGTTACAATAAAACGTGCGGTTCATGAAGTAAAGTAGAACGGGCATATATATACACACTTAATTTTTTCGCCCATAAAACCACAGTGAATGTGAATGTGAATGTTGTGCAGACGACAATTTGTGCTGTCGTGACGTGGATTGAGAGAAGTAAAATTGATGTTTAATGCTTTAACATTGAATATGTCTCGAAAATGATATAAACTGGTTTTGTTTGTGTGTGTTTGAGCACAAGAGTAAATGCATGCAAAAAGAAAATGATGGGGTGGCAACGGGTGACAGTACAGTATACGATTTCACAAATAAAGTTGGCTGAATATCTTTTTTTGTCTGTTTCGCCGCGAAATCATGTATCAGTGTTTTTTTTTTGTTCCGCATCATCAGATTTACTTCAATATTAATGATATAATCTCTCTTGATTCCGTACCGTTGTACAATTAATCTCCGTATGTGTCTTTGTCCTTTCACATCCAGCTCTTTCATTCCCCATTTATTGCGATACTCATTGTACATTTACGATTTTCATAAAGCTCGAGAGTCACTCAACAGTAAACACACAGAGGCTGATGGTGTGAGCTTACATAAATTTATGTATGGTTTGATTTTCTGTCATTTTCGATTGTTATGCTACATTTACGCGACAATTTTGCCTGATGATGGTTTCACATTTTGCATTTTTGCATTTTGTATTCGATTTCGTTGATTGTTACGAATGCATGCTATCCATCATAACAATCGTAAATAATTCGTTTCCATATTGCTACGTATTCATCATTCGTTAAACTAAATATAAATACAACATTATATGTTTATATGATTGCATATGAATCTGTCACGCTTTCACATCCCACTCTCATCCGATCCCATTCAATTGAATGCTATTCACAAAAGAGCGTACAATATTCGTTAAATAACATAAATAAAAGGAAAAAACAACCAGTGCTGCAGCAGAGCCGAACCGTATTAGCTGAAGTTAAAGATGAGGAAACGAACAAATAAACAGAGCGAAAGAGAGCACAAAAAATGGAAAGAAATGTTTTTTTAATGTTCATAAAAGCAGCCATGTCAATCAATTTTGTCTTCTTCTCTCATGATTTTTGACATTAATAAGACTTATACATTTTCAGTAATAATTCGCCAACGCAGCTGCCCCAACCCCCGTTTCCCTTCATCTGTTTTGTTAAGATGAAATTTCTGTTGTATTCTTCTGATTTAAGAACTGCCATTTACATTTAAATGTATACATATTTGTCGTTTTCTATAATTTGTATTCGTTCGTCAATGAAAAATAAATATTTTTCAATGAATGCCGACGATAGAGAAAGAAAAATGAGAAGTAAAAACAGAAATGAGAGTATATATAGGTTTAGCTACTTTTAGGAATTCTTATTCTCTGATGCGGCTCTATTGCCATTTGCACAAACATCTTAATAATTTCCATCGTTCTCTGTTTGGTTCTTATTCCACCCCCTCTATCTCTGTTTTTTTACTGTGTTTTTTTTTTATTTGTATGCCAGATTCATTTCTTTATATTTTGTCCTTCTATTTGGCATGTGAAACATTGTGTGTGCGTCTATATATGTATTGAGTTGTTGGTATGAATAAATTTTTGAAAATGTATTCGATCGACACAACGACGAATAGGTCCAAGAAATCGGAAGTAGTAACACAGTATCGAGAGATAAATATAATTCGTTCGATTGTTGTTGTTATTACGGTTTTATTGTTGGTGGTGAATCGATGGAAAATATGTAATTTGGCATCTTTTTTCGCTCTCGACCCATTCTCTCTTCGCTCAGGATTTGTTCTGGATGAGTGGTATTGGTGAAATCTATTTAAGTGAGATATACATATTTGTCATGTTATAGACATACAAAAATATGAGAAAAGAAAAATATTGTATATTGTTTGCGTCTCCATTTATTCTCTCTTGCATTGTGCAAATAAATTTTCCTCTTCTCCTTCACGATTCTGTTGTGAAACGGATAAATTGAAAAATTCGAAATAAAATGAAATTGGATAGAAGAACGACGACATCAACGAACGATGAGAAAAAAAATATACATTATAAAACGGCGATATAGAAAAATGAGTTCTGCATTTTGCCAACGATTTGGTTGGAATGAGCGCGTGTTTCGTAGTAACGATTTTATACGTACAAACACAAAACATATTTATAAATTTCTTTCTCTCTCTCCTCAATTTTATAAAGTGAATGAGCGAGCACGAGCTTTCAAAAATGTGAGAGGTCTTTGTTCACAAGAGGATCTACTCGTGTCGGTTTTATCAATTTCCGGAAGTTTTAAGCATATTTTGTTGTTCTCTATTAATAAATGTTTTCGGCTTTAATATAAACTTGCTTTCTCTCTTCTTTCACATTTCTATTTTATCTAGACATCGCTAAAACATCATCAGGATTGTTGATGCCAAAGTTATTGTTCGGCTGTGACTTGTTTGTCGATCTCGCTCTATATTTTGTCTATTTCAATCACTCTCACGCTATACAAGTCATCACAATTCTGATATTTCAATTGCATTGTGTGGAAATGCACACATCAAGATAGATGTGATGTCATGATTGAATCATTTTCCAATTTTTGTTTGTATAAAAGTTCTCTTGTTTCACTTTGTCTATTTCGCTTACTTCGGAGAAGAATTCGATGACGAAAAACATCTGCATCCTATATATATTTCTGGATGGTCCGAAAAACAACACATTTTCCTATTGTTATTCCGACACACAGATATATAATCTTTGTTTTGCTCTCCTATATATATTACATTCCTTCTAACGTTATCATCAAAAACTTTTTGCCATGACACATTCCCATTTTTGCTGGCGTCTTGAGAATTCTCAATTCTTTTGTTACTGTCATTTCTCGCATGAATACACGCACAACGACGAATTAATAATGGTAATAATATTATTTATGGAAAAGTTTATGAATTCATAGTTCTAAAGTAAATACAATTTGGCCAAAATGCGAGTGATGGATTTTTGGTTTTTGTTAGACATATTTTGTTGCGCCCGTTCTATACTCTTTTTACACTTTTCAATGTGCGTATAATGTGCATGAGAGCATATTTAAATATACGGTTTTTCGCCAATTTTCCATCATCCCAAATTCTAATTAGACTAAAAGTTTAACTTTGCTTTTTATGTGCGTCTATAGACTTTTGAGTTTTGGAGTATTTCAATTGCGCTAGCAAATTTTCCCTACTCACATTATTTGTTATAGACATTGTCTCTTTCTCTTTCTTTGTGTGTGTGTATGTATGCAAACTATTTTGCATGTATTTGGTTGAATACCCTGTCTTTATCTGGCTGTCAGTTTTTTCTGGCTTTATGCTCATTGCGTCATTTTGAAAATTGCTAATTTATCGTCTTCATATATCGTCGCACCCCGTTTCGCAAACACATAACACTCACACTCATACGTATTTAATATCGTATGCACATCGCACAACAACAGGTATCCAATTTGAGTTTCACATACAATATCTGCTGTTAAATGCAGTTTTAATTGATTTTCTACAGTTGTAGTTCGTTCATTCGATTTTAATTAGTTTTTCATGGCGATTCCATTTTTCCGTCATATAGTTATAGTATATATATGTGTGCATGTCTGTCGTAGTACAGAATAGATCTGTTTTCTAATCTCTGGTTTGGTTCGGTAATTTCGTTGCAATTAATTGTTTTTTGTTTTCAGTTTTCAGTTTTCGCCGACATACGGTCACTTACAGTGCAACCGAATCGTCGGCAATTTTATCGAAATTGCTATTTGGAACTATTGAATGACTACTATTATTCGTCGTCGTCGTCATTGGTGTTGCGGTGGTTGTATTGTGATGATGGGTAGCTTTGTTATCAGTGGGTATTTGGGTGATTGAGTTTGGTATGTGTCAAGTATCGGCTGGCGTTGTTGCATCATGTGCATCGCCGCCATAACCTTCATCAGGACTATCGGCCAATGGACCTGTCAATTGTCGTAATTTATCACCATTGTTGTTATACTGTTCGGCTTCTTCTTCTTCTTCTTCACGATTTTCGGGTATCACATCTTTTTCTAGGCTGCTGTTATTTAGGATGATTTTTTTCGCATTTGTCGCCGTTAATATAAGATTTGGCGATGTTGAACTTATGATTGGATCAATTTTAGTTACATTATAGCCGGGCAATGCTGGTGGCCATTGTGGTAGACCGGTCGGTGTTCCGGTGCAAACCATCGATGAATTACTTAAGATACCTACGATGGGTTGAATTGTTTCATTTTTATAACCGTCCGGCGGCGATGGAAATTGTTGATCGTTTACTTGTGGCAATGTTTGATGATTATTATCGGCGCCCGCTTTTGGATAACCTTCGACCGTGTAACGAATATCTTTTCGTAAATTGTATGTGTCAAATGCGAGCGTTGAACCCTGATTTAAGAATTCAGCTTCCATTGAAAACCGAACACCCTGATTATGTGCAGTTTTTGCTTTCGGTTTGTGCGGCAACGTACGATAGAAATTCACTTGATTGCTTGGTTGATTTAATAAATGGGGTTGCACCAATGGTGACATTGGTATGCCTTGATGATAATCTTGGTAGCATACGAATGGATGATTCGAATTTTGTGCTAAAAAGCATCCCGGACTCAAGTGAACATCCACTTGATGGTGATGATGATACAAATCTTTATTGATGCCTTGAGGTAAGGTCGTCAATGGGTTAGAATATTTGACAGCAGCCGCAGCAGCAGCAGCATTTGCAATATTCGCAGCATTACGTAGCATTTTCTCGCTCGGATGATAACCATTTTCACAATTTAAACCCTGTATACTACATGGTCCAATTGATGCTTGTTCACTGGCTGCATCATCAACATCGATATGCGTACGACTCTTTACACTCTCAGCATCATTTATCAAATCAGGATTTTGATCTTGATAATTTCGTATTGATGTTGGCGGACTACAACATTGGCTGCCTGTCACCGATGTAATTTCATTGCCGCTATTGTGACTGAGATTGTGATGGTGGGCAAGCAATGATGCGCTCGGTCCAATTGTCAATTGCATCTCCTTGTGTTGTTGCTGTTGTTGGTGATGCTGTTGCTGTTGATGTTGTTGATTCGAATAGTTTCCATTTTTCAGTATTGGATATAGGGTTGGCGCATCTGGTTTTGCACTGGAAAATTTAATTTGGTTTGATTGCAATTGGAGTGTGGCATCCGTTTGTGAGCCGCTTTTAAATTTACGATTCCGTTTCGATTTTCGTTTGCATTTCAATACTATACAACAACATGCTAATACAATAACAAATGCCGCAACACCAGCACCAACAATTATTACGATAAAATATTGATAGGGAAAATTGATTTCTTCCACGACCGGTTCTTCTTTAACCAGCACGCGAATCGTATAATTTGCAATGAATTTTCCGGCCGCATTCTCGGCAATGCATGAAAATGTGCCATTCATTTCAGGAACAACATTGTATATAAACAGTTCACTGTTTTTATTCTCATCATTTCCTTCGTCAATGAAATAGTAAATGTGCATATTTTGCGCAGTGAATGTATCATTTTGCAGTAGATGGCCCTGAAACCACCATGTTATTGAAACATCTGGTGACGACGTGATTCGGCACAATAAAGAAATGTTACGACCCTCGATCAATTCGAAAAACTGGGATGCTGGCGTTATTTCGGGTAAGCATGCCAAATCATCCGTTTTTAGATGTTTTATCACTTGACCGGCCAATCGTTCTGGTGACATGCACTTTGGATTCTCAAACTGCTGCGGCACATTGAATGTGTTCAGCCATGAATGTAAATCGATTAGTTTGCAATCACAATTCCATCGATTGCCATCGATATTGATGCCGTGTAACGATTGTGGTAAAATGTGATGCCCTTGCAATGTACTGATACGATTACCATCCAATTTTAGCCATTCCAAATTGTCTAAGCCCAAAAATGCTTCATCTTCAACCACATTCAATTGACAATTGCTCAATTCGAGCGTTGTAAGAAACGATAAATGCTTAAAAGCGTTTGACTTAACTTCACGAATTGGATTTCCGTTCAAAATTAATCGCATTAATGAATTATAATCCGAAAATGTTTCTGATGGTATGGCAGTTAGCATATTTTCGGATAAATCCAATTCGACTAAATTGGACAGGCCACGAAATGCCCGATCATGAATTCGATTCAATTGATTTCTTGGCAAAAAGATTTTTTGTAAATTAATCAGTCCCATTTTGTAGAAACGTTCGCTCATCAAGTACTGTAAATTGTTGCCCGTAAAATTGAGCACTTGTGTGCCCGGATCAATTCCGGCGGGTAAATCTAAGAAAAATGAAGACAAAAAAAAGAGACGTCAACAATCATCAAATTATATATTTTATGAATGAAATTTAATTTGTTTTGATGTGTCTTTTCAGTTCGTCAGTTTTGTGAATATTCAATTTTGAAACAAAAATGTAATCACCTGTTAGAAATTTATCACCGCATTCGACACTCTGTTTGCCACCTTTCCACTTGCATGTGCAAACTTCTGATGGACACGAATACACAGTGTTGATTGCGACGATGCTCAATACGATAACAGCAACGTAAAATCGCTTCATTTTCGCATCATTCATTGCCCGTATACGCACGTACACTTTGTTCCGATTCGACTTCGTGTCTACCTACTTCGACAACTTGATAAATTACCAAGGAATCGGTTTGTTGTTCAACTCCCCCTCTCTGTGTGTCGAAAAATTGCGATTGATGTGCCTATTCTATCTATTTTACTAATGGTATTGCTCTACCGCTCGGATCAATCTCTGATACAGTTTCAATGTGTATTTTACGAATTTTCACCAGAGAATTTATGCATTCTGTATTAGTAAATGGCAACAAGAACCATATTTTATTTGTTGTCGTCGTCGTTAAGTCAGCTTACGTTCGATTCGTCAAGTATTTCCTGTCAGCCAAACAAAACAGCAACAGAAATAACGAAAAATGAAGAAAAAAACTTTTCAAACTCTCGTTTAATCTGATTACATTCGCAATTTTTAACTAAACATTTTTTTCTTGCTTCGAATAAACTCGTTTCGTTTTCGACGAATTGTTGTAACTGCTTTCAATAGGAAACTTTGATCCCTACTTCCATCAAAATTTTATACCGTTTTTTTTTTTTTTTTTTGATAATTCTTTCTTCCTGTCTCTATGGTTATTCTCTATCTACAATGTTCTCGTTTCATTCGCTTCGTTTAATATTTCGAAACCAAACGGAAAAAAAGATAACACTTCCATAGGTTTTTGCTCTTTATACTCTCAATTTCAGTTGATATCCATATACTTGTGTATATATATAAATTCAGATTGGTTTTAAAGCTATTTCCATATTTTGTTGTTGGTTACAATGGTATTTCTCTATGCTGTCCATTTGTGGTCATGACATCCCGACTCTCCATTTAACGTACTTTCTCTGGCTGAATATCTATCGGTTTCTCTGGCTCTGCAAATGAAAGAGAGAAAAAACACCATTGAAATGTGGTAGGAAAAAATTGAATTAGTTTAATTTGTTTTTTTTTTTACAACAAAAAAAATATAATTCCTTTAGAAAAAGTAAGACCATCAAAAAGTGATAAATGCTGCATTAATATAAATCAGGTCAAAAAGCTTTTTATTCACAATAGCATTTTCACTAAAAAAAACACTACAACTGAAAACATTTTGATAGATGAATTAAATTTCAGTCGGTGATAATGAATGAGAAAAATCGAGTGAAAAACCAATTCAATCATATTAACTTGGGAGTTACAGACGAACAAAAACGCTGAGCATATGCAAAAAGCCCATTAGTCGAACATCAATCGAACTGATAAATTACAATACACAAAAGTAGCAGTGGTATGCAATAAAAAAAGTTGAATACAACCGAAAAAATAAAGTTCAAGCTACTTAATAACATAAATCGAACGATGGCGGTAATGTTGGTGGTTGGCGAAAAAAAAAATATTTTACGGAAAGAAAACGTGAGCGAGAGAGAAACCAAATTTCATGCACACCATTTAAGGTCAACGAGTTTTAAAATGGGATTAACATACAGCGAAATATTTCCACACAAAAAATGAAAAGGAAAAAGTAAAAAAAAATGAATGAAATTGGCGAAAGTACTGTTAACCAACACGATAAAGCACGAACTTATACTGGACCCCCGGGCTTTATACTGACCATATTTAATAAGTAAATTTAATAAAATCCAAAAATTCTATGCAGTTTTTGTGGTGTAAGCGTGATATGTGTATTCAACGGATGTATCGTTATTAAAATTGATGCCACTATTAATATACTATGCAGGAGGCATTTTCATGTTAATTGGTGTTGATAGCTGTGGTTTTGTACCTCTAGTTGAATTGACTGTGTGTATATGTGTATAATGTATATACGCATGCGAAGGAAAGAGGTGGATGTTTTTCGAGGGGGATCCCATTGAAATCGGTCCATTGCACAAAGTTCTGACATACGTTAAAATTAATTCATTCATTTCACCATGCATATTATTTGCTTAATGCCAACAAACCACTATATCTCTACTCTCCTTCTCTCTATTTGTCTCTTTGTGACCTTTTTATATCCATTACTCTCTCTCTCTATGCGTTTGTGTATATATCTATCTCTCGTCTGCTCTCGCTGTTTTTGTATATCACTGCACTTGGCATCATCATAATATTATATTGGAATATTTTGTCCCGTATACATTGAGTACACGAACCAAATGTAACCTCAACCGAAATAATGGGTTTTCAATTTCATGTTTTACGAAAATTGTATTTTTGGCAGTGTACATGAACAGGAACAGCAGCAATTGCAATAACGAATAGTACATTCGCAATACAAACTCGCACACACAACTTATATAAACATTGCGCATACATATTCAAGCATTTTTCGGCCATTTGGCTGCTGTAACCAAAGGAAAGAGAGTGGCCGAATTAGTTGTATTAGTACAGCAATTTGCTGTATGAACTTTGACCCTTCAAGCGATAAAAATTTATATTTTTGGCTTTTTTACAGTGCTGTGCGCACACAACATTTACAACACAAATTCAGTTGGCAGCGCAAATTCGGTTCGCTTTCGATGCATTTCAAATAGTCGACAAAATACATAATAATTTGTGTGTGTATATGTTCATTTTCGCTGGGTAGTCGAAGCGAAAATGGGCAAAACAAACGAAACGAAATTTTTTTTGTGAAGATGAAAAATACAGTGAATGTACATTCTCTCATTGCAGCAGTTTCACAAAATCCGCTTTTCAAATAGAATGCGTTTAAATAATGAAAGCAATGGCGATTGAGGAGCAATTTGGATCGCGGCAAAAATGTGTGGAGATGGAGAGAGCATGAAATAAATTGGATAAAATTATGGCCAAATAAAAAAAAACCTAACGACTGCGAAAAAATTCTTTTGCAAGAGAAGAAAATAATCATAGCATAAAAGAGTCTGTGAAAGAAATCCAAGTGAGCAAAAAAGCAGAAAGAAAAGATCCGAAGAAATAAAACGACGGAAAATCAATATTTTCAATCGGATTTAAGTCTTGTAAAATGTCAATAGAATTCACGTAGTTTTGAGTGCTTAAGCATTTCTCTCACTCCCTATCTATCTTTCGTGCTCTTTTCTATTTCTCCTTAGATTGCCTTGCCCCATGGAACAATCAATGAACATCAGGAATAGATGGGGGGATGGCAAAACATAAAGATGAAGTTAATCTCTGTTCAGCTGTCAGGAAAGCTTTGGTAATACATAACACATTCTATTTATTTACACTATGCGCTCTAGTATGCACATTTGAAGAATTGCATATCGACTTATACCCGAGCCGATATATTCACATGTTCATAACAACAATAGTTTTTTTTTTCTCTCTCTCTCTCTTGTCACTCATACTCCGGATAACTATAAATCCGAACATTCTCCCAGAGAGACATGAGCAATTGCACATACAATGCAAGAATGTTGTTGCTCAATGAATATGTCGGTGTGTATATGTGTGTGTGGTAGCGAGCGAGCGCCTGTTAAGAATCTCCAAAGCCATAGATTTGACAGAAACATCGCAATCATCGTTAAACATTATTACTATTATTATTAATGGCGTACTTTTGGTGTGTACTTTTTGGGTTTGGGTGTGTTTGAATGTGTAGTTTATGTTGGTTTTACTTTTCCGTACACACCTAGTGTGTAAGGGGAAAGTATTGCAATGGGTCAAAATTAACGACACCACAAACACATTTTTTTCTGGACTTTTCCGCCGGTCAGAGAACCCCAATCAGGTCGTTTTGAGCATGGATGTTGTGGGTCGTACGTTGTCCGACGTACGCAAAGTTTGTTAACACGATAACTCTCCCGACAGAAACGTTATTTCAAATCTGACTTTACAGGATTTGAGCCAAAAATCCAAAAATTTTTATGAGGAGTACTCCTATTTTTCATTGACATTTCTTCAAACTCTCTGACATTTTTTTATAGCGTTTTAGCAAATAGAACAATTTCAAATGTCATACAAATGGGTACATCATGAAAGCGTGGAACATATTTTTTTGGCCTCGAACTTTACGCCGCTTGAAAAGCTTGAAAAATCGAACAAATATTATTTTGAACTTGCTTGATGAAATACGCATCTACCACCGTGCGGAAAAGTTCGTCTTACTCTTGTGAGACTCTTTATGTTGAAAAAGACGTCGAAAAATCATCTTTAGCTTGTTTTTATACGATTTAACATATAATACAGACAGCGAATAGAAACCAAATTGAGTGGAAAGATATACGCAGATTATTTTTCTTCTATTGAACAATAGAAGTGGCCAGTGGCCATACAATATTTGTTCTATTTAAAGTTTTAAAATACTTCAAAATGTCGAGGCTGTAAATAGAATAAATATTGTAAGGCCACCAGCCCAACAAAAGGAAAATAATCTGCGCATTTATTCCCACTCAATTCATTTCATACGAAATCGTGGTCATGTACCAATGAACAGCGTACAATTAATAAAAAACAAAAAAAAAAAAAAAACAATTAGATTAGGAACTTACTTTGGATGTCACCCAACCACTTCAAACTAAAATTAAATTCCAATTTTAAAGGAAAATCACTTCTATTTATAAATTTCCGTATAAAATGATTTAATTCAATGTTTGATCTTCACTTCGTGCAAATAGCTTGAAATTAGAAATCTAACTGTGATTAATAAAAGTCCGACTGTACGACAAACACCAATGATTTCTCTATTTATCTTAAACCTTGAGCCACTTCCCCTTGATACGCTTCCGAAATATCTCATAAAAATTTGATGGTGATATGGACCATAATACATAATATCGTTAAATTCAATGTTCTGACTTTCACGTTTGAATTCATGCAATAGCAACAACTAAAAGCTTTTAGAAAAATGTTGAACAGTGATAAGAAATTCGTAATCTTTTAGCTCCCTCTTTAAAAAAAACCTTCGAATAAATTATGCCACTTCTTATTTTGATACATTATTACGATACATTCATTTTACTTTTTGAGGTTGCGAGGAAAAGAATTTTTTTGTTTTTGAGCGACATCTGATGATCGGATAAAGTTTGCAAATATTGCTGTTCTATAAGAAAATCATTAAAAATATGTATTTTTATGGTGAACGAGCGTATAAAATGTTAAATACGTTTGGACCATCGTGCGGAAAAGTTCATCTTACTGCTATAAAACACTTTATTTGGTTGTATGCCTATGTCTACACCATACACACTCACATACAGTCACTGTATGTACAAAATGAAACGAAATGAAATGATCTCGGCTAATGAGAGTTAAAGAGATAATACTCGTGCACATACATATTCACATTTCGAATGGTGCACATTTTCAACCATTTGCGGTTTTGCTGGCATTCGAAATGGCAAAAAGCTGAATGATATTTCGTTCGTTCGTTCGTTTACTCATTTTCTCATGATAGCACACGCCTCGTCTGTGTATCATGCTACAATATTTCGATATCTTGTTATCTGGTTATTTGCTTTTGGGAAAAATTGATGGAAATTCATTCGATTGTTATTATTACCTTATAGGTTTTAGTGAGAGCACACACACACACACATAACACGCTCATGCCCGTCACAAACACGCAAAATTGCATACGGAGCAAACAAGAGCTTGAATATATATATATGATATGCTGTCGTAGTCGCATAACATCAAACCATTGCGATTAGAACGACAACGACAAGCAAATCAAAAACACCGTCAAACGTCAACATTTCAAATGATGGTGCCAGGACCGAGGGGACATGGAAACAGATACAACTTACAAATGTTGTTCTTCATAAAGAATATATTGATACGTGGAATGATTGTGATGCGATGACAAGCTATTAGTTTTATTTAATAAATCTTTTGATTTGGGTTTGACGTTTCGATGTAACGGACAATGCGGGCGACGATGACGATGTGACGACGAGTTTGGCATTTTGATACATTCTTGCTACTACTCACGCTTCGCTTATTCCTATTTAATGCTATTATTTCACGTATTGAACGCGATTGACTTTCAAATTACAGACATTATTCCGATTCGAAATCGAAAAAACAATGTGATTCATGATAGACAGACATATTACCGTTTCATTTCACTTTTTTTTCACCGATCCAACAGATCATTTCTTATTTCCTTCTTATTATTATTCTTTTTTGCTCGATTTTTCTCTTTATTCGCTCTTTCTTTCGATTCGTGATTCAAGATTTTCGGAAACATTTGCCACTACATTCAGAAGCAGGGCGAAAAGCATGCAAAACGAAAAAAATATGGAATGTAAAGTGAGATGGAGGAAAATACACTCACACCCACAAAAGCTGAGTAGCTACGTAAATGGATTGGTTTTGAACAAAAGGCGACGACACATCGTACAAAGATCGCATAAAAACACATACATATAAACATATCGCTTACCTTTTTGTGTTTGTGTATATGTATAATTTCTAGTGCTTCGAATTATGCAGCATCCGTTTGACTAAAAAGTTGAACTGTGAAATGTATGAGGGATTGATCTTTTGCAATTTTCTCAATGAAATATCCATTAAATGTCATCAACTTAAATTCGCTTTTTTTATATGCCGATTAGTTTTTTGTCCATTTTCTTTTTTATGTCATTGTCGTCGTCGTATTCGTGGATAATTTTCGTTTCTTCTAGTATTGAACTGTCGATGGTATTTGATTGCTGGGACCAAAATTGATTTCTCTTTCGTCGACTTTGTCGTTGTTGTTTTTTTTCGTTCACAAACGGTTTTTGATGTCTCGTTTTTGGGATAATCCAATTTTTATATTAACTATCTGTCGATTGAACACCGAGCACTTTTTTCTGCTATCATTGCGATTACACGCACACTCAAATTTCACTCAAAGCATTTAAATGTTATCCGAACAGATTTATTTATTGAATAACTTGGGTTGTTTTCTTCAAATGTGCTTCTTTAACTCAAAACATATATGTACACACACGCGTTCGTTCACTCGGTCGCTCGCTTGCTCGTTATTTTGAGTATTGCTCGTTATATCGAATCGCTCAATCGTTTGGGATATTTATTCTTTTTTTTTTGTTGTCGTTGATCTTATTTACTCATTTTTCTCTTTCTCTTCTTTTTTATTTGAATCATTTGATAGATGTAATTTTTATTTTTATTTTCACTTTTATGCATGTGTACTGTTCCCGTTTTTATCGTTGGTTAGCTCAATTTAGTTGCACCATTCACCCAATAACAAGAAAAGTAACTCACATATACAAAGACTTAACGAGATAAGCGACGAGAAAAACCTCAACCGTCAGATTGTGGAGATTGTTAGATTAGTGCTTCAAAATCATTTCTATAAAGCTTTATTTATTTATTTTTTTATCTTGTTTTCTTCGTTCCCTTTTGGGGTTTAGTTTTCCATTTTTTTATCTCATTTAATACTGTACACGTAGTGCTTGTATCTATATAACCCGTTGCGTTGTCAGACGCGTCAATCACATGCACCACAACTTTATATCAAATTGTAATACTTTTTTGTTCTCCATTCTTTTAGTCGATATTTTCAATTCACATTTATATATTCGGCAAATGAAATGGATTTGTAGAAAGCACACTCAATTTTTTTTATATTTCTCATTGAATATCAATCCATTGCACACATTGAATATAAAATGGCAACTATTTTCAATATCGTTTCTTTTGACGAGTTTTTTTTTTCTTGATTTTTATGTTGTATTTTCGCTCTATTTTGCTTGCTCTATCTCAATGCTGGATGCGTATAATCCCGTAACCACAGCCACTCACACTGAACGAAAGACACACAAAAGAGCACACACAAATGGATACAATGTGGTATGTATTTTGAAAAGAATATTTCTCTTTTTTTTTTCAAATACATATAACTATAGCTATAATATTGAATGCGTAGGTTTGTGTGTGTGTTTTTTTTCTGCTTTGGTTTTCGAAGGAGTCTTTTTACCAAAGAGCATTCGTGCGCTTCGCTCTTCGTCTCGTTTTTTTATTTTATTTTTCGCTTAAAAACGTGATGTTCTGTTTTATATTTTAGAACGAACACAAACCAACACACGAACGTTCGTGTTTTAGGCATGGAACGAACGATAGAGAATAAAAAAAATCGAGCCAAAGAAAAACGACAACAACCTTTTCAAGTCAAAGATCCATTTAAACACATTTCTTCCTCGGCCAAGTTTTTTCGGTGTTCGTTTTGCAACCGATGGCTATTGCACATATTTCATACCGATGTATGTATACGAAGCACCCAAGAAAGCACACGTAAAACGATAAAAGAAGAAAAATACGGAATAAAAATCGATTTGCTGAATTGAGTACACACGAAATGAGAGAGAGATCGACTTCGATGCCATATATTCAGAAAGTTTGAGTTTTGTATGTCGATAGCAGCAGTCAACACGCGCGCGGCATCCAGAACCAAAAAAAATTTGTTTTTCGTTGGCTTGGTTCATCTATGTTCACAACTTTGCCAATAAAAAGTATCTCCGTTCGAAATGTGCTTCTCTCTCACTCACACACTTTCTAACTGTCCGTATATGTCTTATCCAAAAATGTGGTTACACACCGAATCGCATCGGAAAAGTATATCGGCGACAAAATATTGTGTCGAAAAACACCGAATAGAAAGATCTGTGAACAATTTCTATGCTCGTTTTCTTTTCACTTTTTCACTTGAGATGCGAAAACTTTAAATCAAACGGAATATTTGCATATATATTTTTTTGTTATTGTTACTTCTCTTCTCGCTACACTTCGATGTTCATAGTAAAATATTTTCTTTTTGTCTTTTGTTCTTTTGCTGTTCTTTAAATTGTTTGGTGCGTGCTCAAAATTTCAAATCACTATGTGTCACACAATCACGAAAAAAAGGAATTTGCATCCCCACTCATATATATATATACATTGTTTGAAAAGTAGCAAAAATTTCTTGTTGAAAACTTTTAAATGCTTTTCTAGTTTCGATCGAATGTTATGCTGTTTGCTTTGAGTTTGTTGGAATTTTCGCGTTTCATTCGATTCCATTTAAAGTGTAATATATTTTTATGTTATAGGCGTAACACCGTCATTGCGCGCAAACGTTTTCAACGGCACACACTTCACGACTGACTGACGACAAGTCGTTCACTCAGACTGGCACCCGTTCATACTTCCATAGTTGCTCACGCTCTTGTTGTACTCACTGTGCTGCCCGTACACTATATAATGCAATGGATAACATCATACACACAACAGTCAGAAAGGATTCCAAATGTTCATAAAATATTTCCACCGCTTAAATGCGTGACACACACATCACAAGCGCCGCATAACAATGTCTCAACACTCTTAACGCACGCAAGCTTATATATATGTGAATATTGTATATGTCTCGCAATTTTCGTTGATGATATTTGAAAAAAAATACCGAGTGTTGGTTCATCGAGCGCGCGAGATTTCAAAACCGAAAATGAGACGTTACATAAAACGTGCGGCTACTTTGATTGGAACCATTGGAATGAGCGTGCGCGTTTGAACGTTATTTCCCCGCCAATGCTGCTGCTACTGTTGTCACATTCCCGACGGTCGTCGTTTGTTGTCTTTGTTGTTTGTTTTTGCTTAGCAATCCACCTCGAGGAGCTAGTTTAACCGTTTCCGATTAATTTTCCTGTGAAGCGATCAGTTTTATTGCCTCTACATCTGCATTCATCATTTAGTTTTGCGGTTCTATCATTGCTGCTTTATGCGATAAACTGGATTTTGTGTTTATCTGTATGCGTATCTGTGTGTGTGTGCGAGAAGCTTTGCTGTGAAGCTCAAGAGGGACAAAAAAGGGAGTATCACGCCCTGGAAAGCAACTGCGGCGATAGTATTCCAGGCTGGAAAAAGTTTTGTGTACATTCAATGCTTGCACATGTATTGGTTCAAATGAAACCAGGGTTAGGTATTTTTAATGATGAATATCGCATTCACTGCTGATGCAATGGATAGAACTACTTCAAATATACAAAATATAATTTTCGAAACGAAACGCACGAATTTTTGGAGTGAATAATTTGGTGTTGACATATAACACGCATGTTCATCACACGAATCGAGCGCCTATAACTACACGAACATATGAAATTTAACATGAATCAACAATACACAATACCAAAATGCCGTGGTTACAAATGGTTTGCATTTAAGCCCGCAAATGTTAAATTGCTACACGATACAGAGTGAAAAGGAATGAGCGAATGTGCTTTATATTCAACGCAATAGTGAAACTGCAATGAGTCTTTACCGAAGATATCCATATATTCAAATTGAATGACTTCAGGAAATTCTGCATGAAATATATGTATGCACATGAGAAGAACTGAACAATATAGCGACGCGCGCGCTCTTTCGTTTGCTGTTCACTGTACAATGTACATATGTTTCTTAATAAACATGCAGCGTTAAAGAAACCATAAATAAATGAGGTTTCATGTGTGAATTAGGCGCATTTCGAATGAGAGAGAACGAGAGAGAGAACGAGATAGAGAGAGAGAGAGAAGTAGACATCGAGTGAGAGAAAATATGTGTGGAAAATACATTATTTTTATGTGAAGTACTTGTCGTAGCATTCACTCCAATTAGAATAATAAGCCAAAGCACACACACACACACAAAAGAGACGATGCCATGAAAACAGCTATTTCATGTGTAATTTGTAACAAAATTCAAGGAATTTATTCAACATTTTACTGTACAGAATATTCGTATTTATTATCAAAAGAAGAGAGATACACAAGACCCGTTAAAAGATGGAAAGAGATATTGCAAATGTATGTACTGTGTATACGTATAGAGAGTAAAATCAGGATGAATAAAGGACATTTATACATTAGATGTGGCGCGTAAAAGATTTGCCAAAGTTTACATTAAATGGAAAATAAAGGCCGGCGTCTGGGAGGCATACACAGTCCCTCAGCTCACATACAAACACAATAGACTCGAAAGTCATAATTAAATAAAGTACACACGAGAATGTGCGTTTCATCGTCTTCAATGGCATCGCATTGTTATTGTTATTCGTCTGATTAATTTGAGACTCTGAATATACGTTATTTACTTACAATGTGTTGTACATTTTGATGGTGATGCACGAAACCCAATTTATGCGCCTATTCAGGCTGCCCTTTTGTAGAGGTACAGTACATATATTTATATTGTGTATTATTAAACGATAATGACACGCATTTGATAATTTATCGAATTATGTTTTCGAGCAAATTGGAGTCATTCGCCATTTGAATCATGGCCCATTTCGTAAATAAAATAAACGATGGCTGAATGTGAGAGCGTGTGCGCTCGGCGCACTTGTGGGCGCGTTTCAGCAACAAATGTCCTTTGATCGACAGGCAATGCAATGTCCCATGTGCGACAACAATTGCATTACGTGCTGTAAATTAAAACAATTTAACAATTGACTATGAACGAGAAATATTTTATTATATGGAATTTATTTTATCAAACAGAAAAAAAAATGGCGTACATGATAAACGAAAACAAAAATGTACGTACATGTGGCACAAATTGCGCACTAATTCAACTTATTCTCACGATACGATGCGATATTGTAATTAAATTCACTGCCTGTGCACAAATGCGTGCGTGTGTACATTCAAAGCTAAAATTATGCTCGCACTCATTTACAATCGATTTGAATGGGGTAAAACGCGAACGTGTATCATGTAAAACGGGATCCGATTTAGAAAATACAAAGCCTAAATTGAAGTATTTGCCTTATATGAATTCAACTTTGGAAAACAAAGAGCGAACGAAATAAAACCAACGGGTGCCAACGGCGGCGGTGGCGGCGGACGGGTTGAAACAATTGTATAAAATTAATCGGCTTTCGGTTTTAGTTTTGCCAAACTCTCCTCACCAACGACCTTCTTAATTACATCATATTTATACAATGGCACCGATAACACAGCACCCGTGCATGCCCCAATCCAGTAAACAATAATATGATCGATATTGCTATAACCACTGCAACCCCATTTCAAAGCAGTTGCCAATATCGGATTGAAGTAACCACCAGAATAATTGAAAGCTGCAAATAGAAAATGGAAATAGAAATTTAACGGTTGAGAAAAAGAGAGAAGAAGATGTGAATGATAGACAGACGGAATGGGAATAAGTGGAAAATGCACATCAAGATAAACACAGAAATTATTCAACATGCGTCTTTGCGACGTGCCAATGTTAACATCATCAAATCAAGCAAAATTTGATTGTTGAAAATTGATTTTCATCAATGAAATCAAATTGATTACGTGTATAATGGAAAAACGGAAAATTAATAAGCTATATTATTATATAAATTCTCGTACTCGGCAACAGCAACAAAAACTCCAAATGCATGTCTTTGAATACTACGCATAATATGCAATTTCAATTCTATGCAACATGTTTATCGAATGCTTTTCGAAACATAATCCGTCCATGCCCTCGAATCGCATTTGGAAATTATTTTCGCTTATTTCTGTAGCCATTTATGCGATGAACATTGAGCAAATAAATTAATAGAAGTTTCAAACATCGTTTTTCGGACGAATGCTTTTTGCGTTTCAATATTTCGGACTGAAAAGTTTTTGCCAAATTAATTGACTTCACGCGAGCTCGCAGTTCTTAAATATCCCTTTTTATCTTTAAAATCTTTAAAAATCATGTAAAAGTTATGCGAAAAGTTGCGTTCGGAAATTGAGTTATTAATGTTTGACTTGTAGTTTGTATGCAACATAAAGTGGCGATTGCTAAAGCTAGTATTTTTCGGTTTTTTTTTTGCAATAAAACATTTCCATTGCTTTCTTTATAAAATAGAAGTGTAGATACTACAGAACTTAATGTTAGAAAATATGGTGTCTGAATGAGTGCTTTTATTTGAAAACAAAAATCAAGAAGTAAAAATGAACTAAATATTATATATTTTTTTCAAAATAATTTTCGTTCGACGTACAGTAACGTTATTTGATCTTTTTCATACGTCTTAAAATTAAGTGACGCATTTTCGAACATTCGTTATATTTTTATGAGTTCAAAAATATGATATTGTTTGAATTATCTGAGACCATCTGTAATTTTATAATATTTTTCAATATTCTTTTAAATATTTCTTGAACAAAAACTTGGATGTAGAAAATATTCTTAAACATGGAGTGCTGTCATGAGTGAAGCAAATAAAAAACTGTTGGCTGAATAATACATAAAATAATGAGCTTTTCGCATGGGTTTCCAAAAGCAAAAGCAAAAGCAATTTTGAACTTTTCTAAAACTCATCGGCGCGAAACCTATATTACATTAAAGAATAACAACTTAAAAGTTATTGAGAATATTTTCATTTATTTTTGAATGCATTTTCGATTTAAAATATTCATTTCATGTATTTTGGTCAAATTGAAAATTTTAGTTGATAGTTAGTGACCGTAATTTGCTGGAATAATGTTGCCAATTGAATGGAAGATTTTTATTTCTTGGATTTTTTACTTTTTTCGTCTTGGCCTCTAGCTTGGCCTGTTCTGAGAAGCGTCCGCATCTTTTTATTTGTCTTTCAGAATCACAAAAAGTATACTATTTTTGTCTTCGATATCGGTAAGCTTCTTTTGCATGTATTTCAAGAAACGGAGCAAATAATTATATATTTCTTTTTGGTTCAAATTGTTGGCAACAGGAATAATATGCATCATTCATTTTCTGCAATAGATCGAGCAAACGATAAAAATAACTTTGCAAGTAATACCTCATTAACATCAAAGCATCCAAATTTGCAACGATTTCAGTTTTATCGATTGCAGAAACTGAATAACATTTACGAGGTTGTCTACTCTTTCTCAGGTTTCTGCCAGCTCATTAGAAAAGTCAGGCAATTTCTAAGAATATAATTGAATGCTCGAGAATGAATATAAGACTATTTCCAAGATTTTATTAAAATGTAACATAACCATATACATAGCCAAGAAAAAAATTGAATTGAATGTCCCATGTTGATCAAAATACTGAATACTGAAGCGATGTGTTAATCCAACGAATTCGGCCCCACTTTATACAATTTGACACACAACCATTTTGGTTAATTCAGTTATGACAGAATTTGGCGCATGTTGTATCAAAATATTTTCGTTATTAAAAAGCGTAATAAAACAGATATTATTGTGTTTCGAGGATCTATCAATGTAAATTCCAGCGTTTCTATTATTTATTCAGTTTTATCAAATGTAGTCATACTAGTCAGTTTTTCTTTTGTCGCTAAATTTGTCTTAATTCATTGTCAAACTTTTATTTCTCAAATCGAAAGAACACTTTGTTTAATTTTTTTTACATAGTTTCATGAAATGATAAACAAAAGTTTCTTTTCAAAAACAAAATGTAAGTAAATAATTTTTTACTATTAAAAAAATCATAACATTTGTGATTGTTTATTTTTACAATGATTAAAATTATGATGTAAAAGTTTCTTTAAGAGCGTCTATAAAATCGTTAATCTCTTGGCAAGATGCATTTTTTAAAATTTCCTTAAGGTTCGATTCAATATCAATGGCCGGTCTAATTGCGATCATCCATTCATCCAATTTATCATCTCCAGATTCGCCTACTTTCACCAAATTCAAGATTGTCGAAAAAATACTATGTTTATCTTCGAGTTGGATCAACTTGTCTTGAATATAACGTAGGTATATGCCAATTTTGAATGTCATCAAAACTTTTCCTCTTGAACTTTTGACTATTGCTTGGAATTTTGATTTTTTCTCTGATTTTTCTTTGGCGTTCTTTATTGTGCTCACTTTTCTCAGATATTCCGTATAAATTGGTTCAAATCGTTGACTGCATTGAATATACATTTCGTGTACTTGTTTAAGACTTGTCAACGTACGAGTGACAAAAAATCTTTCAATGTCTTCTTTAATAAATAACAGGTCTTCGTTATTGCGATGTTTATCTAGTACGGTCTGAAGGGTATTTTTAAGTTTTTGTATTCTCTCTTCGATATCCTTAACACCGTCAGAAAATGTCTCATCAAACATTTTTGAATTATCACCAAACGCCAATTGAACCTGTTTTACGGAAATTATTTTTAACGTTTTGACAAAGTTTCAAATGAGAGACCTTACTTAGTGAACAGTGAATTGCAAAATTTACCACATCCACCCTCGAATATGCATAAATTGCCTTTAAAATTTTTCAATTTTCAACGGAAATTACAGTCTTTGTCGTAAATGGAAATTATCTTCAAAAACAAAACCCTTTGAAGTGATGACTATTTTAATAAAGTCAAAACTTTGAACGTCTTTATCGCAATTAAACTTTTCAGAAAATACGAGATAAATAGAAGAGCAATCAGAGGCAAAAAAAGTAACAACATAAAATATATTCTTGTTTCCTTGCAACTCACTTTCTAAGTTTAACAAAATGTTGCCCATTTTCTGAAAATTGTCGTTTTAAGTTTCTAGAAAACTGCAATTTACGCTTAGCAAATATATAAAACGATTCATTTAATCTTTGCTTTAGCATGCTTTAAAGTTTCAAACCAACTATTAGTACTGACAAAATAAAAACAAATTATTAACAATGTTTTTTACTTACGCCATTGGTGAAAAAGGCAACCAAAACTAAGACTTGAATTGAATGGTTCATTTTACACAAAATATCTAAATCTGAAGTGTACTGTTTGTTCACATGAAAATCTTCCCTATTTATACAGCGACACAAATGAATATTTTCAGCATCAATTATCGACTAATGGTTTACCGCAGAGTTTATTACATATAAAACATTTTTTTCAAAAATTAGGACATATTTTAGTGACAAAGGAATTCAAAGAGAATATGGTGATAATTATCGTTATTTGCCTACGGAGTAAGACACACCCTCATTTGTATACTTAATTAATCAGGCACACATATGAAGAATACAGTAGAACGTCTGAATAATGGAACGACACAGAAAGATGAAATACAAGGCAAAGTATCAAAAAATTTCGTATTCTTCAAACTATATTGAACTTTCTTCCAAAGTAAACAGATCAATTTACTGAAAGGAACGGTTATCTTTTGCTTGGAGTATTCAAAGAAAAACAGAATATATGAAAAACGAAAAATAAAGTCAATATTTATATCGCCAAGTGTACTTTAGTGTTGTTTTTTTACGATTCTCATCAAAGCGTCAAAGTCACCCTGAGAGATGTTATCAAATACTGTTCGCAATAAATGAAAAATTTCATCACACATTTATTACATTGCAAGAACAATTGTCATTGTTAATTTTTCTTATACTTAAAAGAATAATGAAAATTACAATAAGAGTCGTACAAGATGATTCTTAAACTCATTTTATTTGCTCATCATTTACATGTTACTACGTGGACTAATTTTTACGTTGATGTTTTCCTTCTCAAAAGTATTTTAGACAATCATTCGTAAAAAATAGCGTCGAATGATTTGTGAGCGTGTGAGAACATGCAAAAGTTCGTCTCTCATGTAAATCACATTTATCATGCAGTCGACGCTAACTTTCTCAAATTCCAATTTCCATTGCAAGAAATAACAGAATTATTCAAGTAAAAGTGAAACACATTAATAGTTCACACCAAATGCAAAACGATTACTGTGTAAAGGCAACGAAAATTGAAATGTATCCGAATGTCATGGGAATAGAAATGCACGATACATTCAATCTTCGATGGAATGCATGTTTTATTTCCAGCTATACATATAGAATATATAACTTACCAGCGACGACGAGACTGGTACCAATAAATGAATCAATGAATGTTGCATGCCGCATTCCCACATCAGCAATTGTTCGGCTAGCTAGTCTGCAGAGTAACGTTGCAAACCCTTCAATGAATGCTCCCAAATAAGCGTTCACCTATAATGTGTCGAATGTATATACATAGAACGAAATCGAATAAACAAACGATCCAACGGTTTCATCGTAATATTGGTTGGGGCCATCGTGATTTATCTTACTTGTAAATCAGTTGTGCAATTTTCAAAAGCTCGTCCTTCGTGTGTCTGGGCAAATTCAAACCACCAAAATATTTGCACAAAACGATAGACACAGCAACCGCCCATAATTTGCGCCCTTTTCGTCCATTTTTGAAAGTGAATTGCATGGAAAGAAAAAATATGAAAATTATCAACAGAACTGTAAAATGATATCGTCACTATTGAAAATACAAACTTTACCATGTTTTTAACAATACCAAACGCAATGAAGTCTTCCCCTCAAGCCAATCTTCAATCTGTATGTAGCAACATGCTGTAGCATCTCCCCAAACCATTGACCACAAAATCGTCAAAAAGAACAGAAATATCGCATAAACCGCTACGCCAAAATTGTCGGCAACTGTGTGTAAATTGTGTCAATAGGTTTTGGGTAACGAATTTGTTTTGTGTGTATGTGTGTGTGTGTGTGTGTGTGTGTGCATTGTGTGCATAAGAAGTTATAGACGACCGCCAAGCGTGCGCATGCAACACAATTGACGAGAAGAGAAAAACGAAAAATCCCAGTGAATTAATTTGAACTTGAAACGGTTTTTGATTGCTCTCTCATTCTATCTTTCTACGTTTGTTTGTTTCATGTCGGCCACACTCACCAATAATCAGTTCAAAACAGCATGAGCACAGCTCAGCCGCTGCTATCGCCTCATACAGCAGCTCCTTTACGAGACATGATTTAACCGTACGCGACACAACAATTCGTGCAATTGCTGCGAGCAGACAACACAAACCAATAAATCCGGTTGAAATCGCTAAGGCCGTATTCATTTCGATGAAGCTCTTTACTGTAGACATCATTTTTTTCGTCGTCGGAATTGTTGTTGTTGTTGCCAATATAATTACGTGCACCGCAATACGTATTGTGTGTTTGATTTTCAAGAGAGAAAAATTGCAAAGTGAATTGGGATCAATTCAAAGGTTTTAACACTAATCTGCAAATTCGAACTTGCTATGATTGGCGGACTGGTCGCATCACATGGAAAACGAACGGATTCGTGCAAAACAAGAACAAACACAGAAAAAAAAATCAAGTATGATCTGGTTGACAGGGAGGAAAGAACGAATGATAAACAATTTTCTTTGGTCGTTAAAAATTTGGAAATTTCATGACTTAGTTTATTAGATTTTATGATGAGTCTCATAACACTTTGTACAATTTTCACATTTCAGTTACGGTGTTGGGTTCTTAAATCAGCGTAAAGTTATGATCTGACGATAAACGAGAACGTAACAAAAGCCATGAATTTGTTACTTTTACCAGTATATGAGCGCCATGATGACGTTGTGAGTGGAAATAATCATTCTGAAAATGATATGCACTAAAAATGAACGTTGATATCGCTGTTGATGTGTTGTATATTAGTGCGAAACTGTTGATATGAACGATACTACTTTATTTTATACTCAATAACATCAATTGATTTCAATTCCATTTAATGTAATGTATATAAGACTATTGATGACAACGAAAATTGTGCAAATATGAAACTATAGCATTGAACTTCATTTCTATTATGACGCTGTACAGTTTCATTCTATTTTTATGCATTTTGATGTGGGACCTTTTTTTCAACTTATTAAATGTGATTTTGATGCACTATTCTCACTATTTTAAGAATAGAAAAAACACTGAAATTCT